TATATTCACACCCAATGTGGCCAGAATTACATTAATCGTGAATTTGATGCGCATTTTATTAAAACGGACAAATAGACTGCATTATTTTGTACACATGATTTTGACAATTTACGATCCCAGTCGCATTACATGATCCGCGTCTTGGCACAGATATAGCAGAGGAGTTAACAGTTTTAGTTCCAAGAGGAGGTTGGTCCAATTCGAGAACGCGGTGGTAATCTTAACAAATTATTTGTGAGTATCTGTATTGTGCTATGATTATGTCGAAGTGTATTGCCAAAAGTTTTAATACCTGAAATGAGGCATTAGTTTATCGTTTGGTTGCTTTAAAAATACTGGAGGCAAAGTATAAAGTTGTTAATAAACTCCGCTCTTGAATTTATTTTCAAGGGGCTTACCAATTCCAGGGTTCGAACTTCCTCTACATACTATGAAAGAAATTGAAGAATACCAAATAGAATAAGAGAAGAAATAAGTAAATTATGCGAACATCAAATCACGACTACGCAAATGAATATAACGTCGACATAAGAGGTATCGAACCAGTTTTTATTAGTAACCTTGTTGTTTAGAAGATAATGAATTTTTTTATAAAGAACTACCGAATGGTTGTCTGCTATAAGTGGTCTGATGATAAATACTTTATACTTTTACAGGTTGTAAACGGCCAGTAAAAGAATTTTTACTCTTGCCTTCAAGGCGCGCACATTTACGTTCAGATGTATAATACTGTGGATACGTATACCATATTTTAAGTCTTTTAATGATAATCATAACCCAGACTTAGCTAATAATTGATTATTTTTTGTATTTACGCGATTACACATTACCAAATGACACTGTTTTTTACCGATCTATCGCGTTTATTTTAAATGTTAGTTCCGATAGTTTCGAACCTTTTTCGGCGTTCATGGTCACGGGACAGACTAACTAATAATTAGGTATTAATTTCTATCTTATGCAAGAGTTTGTAGATCCCGTTTCCAAAAACTATTAAAACGAATGGCCACTGACTATGGGCAATGGTTTCAACGTATCCCGCAATAATCGCGCGTCTGTGTAATCTAACTGGGCGTTTGGTCTGGCGTTTCTCACTCTCGGCGGGAGAGCGGTGCAGCGTTACAAAGATATGTCGTCTATTTATAAATGAGGACCATTGCAGGCGGGCGGGCGCATCGCCGTGCTAGTCCAATCGTTGTCTTCGTTTTGGATATTATTTAGGAAGTGTACTGCTGATTGCGCTTTAATAATAACCGAGTATCGTCTACAGGTTTTTTTATTCCCCGTAGGATAAAAGGGTTCAGACTCTGTAGTATAATCGTTTATTAAAATAACGTTTTTTTTCCATAAAAATGCCATTATATTCCCTAAAAAACAGAACGTGTTGACAATGCGGTAGTTAGTTATTAATACCTAAATTTTACTGTGCACGAATTTGTGTACGTGTTTGTTATGAATGATCGCACGTAAAATAAATGAGTTGCGTATAAATCACGCACTTTTTGAGATAAGTTCAAATGAATATAATTAATAACTTACGAGTGATTTTAAATATTTATCAATTTTTATATAACATTATTTATTTCTAGAATTTAATTTAATAAAATGGATACACTTAGAAAAGCCACCCTGTATAATATACAAATATACTATGCGGTAACACTTGACGTTTAGGCAATGAGGACTCATGTGTTACAGTCACAATAAAATACAAGTACAAATTCTACGCCACTGCGGGACAGTCCTAAACAAGAGACATTTGCATAATAAGCTAACAATATATTTGCTTTGAATTGTCTTTAACGGCGTAGATATCAAATTTAGCTAGACTTAAATAGTGAAAATAAAAATACTTCACGTAAAAATTAATGCAATTATGTATGATGTGCCGTGCAATATTTGTGTTGCCGCTTGTTGTGGTGTCTGTTATGTTCTTAGGTCCTTCGAGGCAATTTGAAGATCAACTATATAATATTTGTGCAATGATATTTTATAATATAAACAACGCCTGTCCATACTGCGTGGTGTTTAAAAATTGTTTGGAATTGCAATCTAAATACACCAATTGGTGTAATTTGAGTGCGTCAATTTAGGTACGCTAGCGTCATAATACCTACCTCTTATTTGTATATTATTATATACCTATATTGATAGTTATGTATAACATTTTGTATTTGGACTCATGACACATCGGTGAAATCGGACAGAAGTTATGGAAAATGTATTTCGGACTCAGCGTAGCCTTGTGCGATAAAGATATTTTAGTGACATAAAAATTTAGGTAGAAACGTCAGGTGGCGTAACAATGCCTTACAAGCGATATCAGACCCTTAAATTGTAGTACCTATTCTGCTATAGCTCAGGGTGAGTGGAATTTTTGATGACTGCGGTAGGACCACGGAACAACTTCTGCTGTTGCACGAATGGGCAGGTCCGGAGAAATACCAGAGCCTCACAGAAGAATGGCGTGAACATCAGGTGAACCGCCTGCTCGCTTGCCAACGATTCACATAAAAAAGTTTTGTGTATTGGTTGAGGTCCTGTTTTGAACTGATAAACATGACATTACATAAGTTATTCAATTTATACATATGGTTGTTTTTCATTTGCTTCGTGTTGCAGCGATTTGTACTTTCTTACCTCTCTTGCTTATTTTGATGTGCAAAAAATGTCAGTTTAACAGTTATAGAAACGTTCCATTTTCATCCATTCTGATATTCCACCTTTTATTTTCTTAAATATGAATTTTGGTTCTCATAAAAGATTAATATGATTTTATATGTGGTATATGTACTGTACTTTTTAACTGATGTTTTAGCTTTCAGTGCGTAGACTATTGAAGCTTCATCGAACGCAAAACGCTTGGCCTAGCCAGAACCCACGAGTTCATAAGTGATAAAGTTATATCACATTATTATCTGCCTTGTACAAGCTATAATATACAATGAAAATGAAATAAAACAAATTCTATAACAAATTATAGCTAAGCTAGCTAGTTACGACATACTTTCCTAAACAATCTTTTTTCTATTACGTCACCAACACGGATATGTGGACAAGTAAAGAACGTTACCTTACCTATTTTTTTAACATCCGTTTAATTTCTTTGTCGCTTTGTGATATTCCATTCTTGATAGACGTCAAGTCGATGACTAGAAAAAGTCGCATTGGTACTCGTTTCTGATATATTTGAAGTTCATTGTTTGAAAATGAATAGCAATATAAAGTATATTATATAAGCCTAAAGTGTAAATACAAACGGTAGCAGAGTTCTTATTTAAGTGTAATAATGGATCAGACTTATGTGATAAAAATACATGATGTAGATTTAATTACGACATTTTAATTCTGCGCATTTTTGCGGCTATGTAATTTTATTGTTGAAACATTTGAAATATTAAAATTCAAGACGCGCTTATGAACAGGAAGCTATTTAGACGATTTTTTATATCAATATTCAAATTCAATATTCCTTCTCTTGTAACTTATGAAATCTTACAATCTGTGTTTGTGTCTGTACAGTGTGTTTTAGTCCACTGCCACTATGTAACATAGGCCGTCTACAGACTTTGTGATGTGTAAATATAATAACGGGCTGCCATACTTAATACATTGGCAGGATATAGTAGTAAGCTTGCGATGGCATTTTAAACAACTAAATCAAACGAGTGTCTTTGATGTTTTTATTACACAGGCGCAACTATTCCATCAGCCACGTAACGTGTTTAAATAGAATCGAATAAGAACGAGATTCTTGGCTCGAACGCAAGCAGTGATCGCTTATGATTTAGTTTCTTCTTTTTTTCTCTACTCCTTTTGTTTTGTTTTTTCCTTCGGCTCCGTGCCCGAGTTGGGAGAGTTCCGAGGCACGGTTCAGACGGTGCGTGCGGCAGGCGGTGCATCGAACGCGGTGAGAGCGGGGTCGACGAACTTTGCGCCATGTGCATTCGGTTTCGAACCGTTTCCATAGGCTATATAACGTAAAACGCACGACTCGATGGACGCCTATTGATGTAAACAAATCGGCCGGCTGGTCAATGCGACACCGTAATTGCGGAAGCGCTGTGTGACAAACGCCGTACATTAATATAACAGACAGGAAGGCTCCGTAGTTTGATAATTTTCTGAGGTTTTTTGGTTTTTCTAAGGTTTCGGTGAATACGGAGGAGACGAGAAATGTAGTGTTAGCAAATTCTAAGATTCATATAGCGAAAAGACATCCATTAAGGATCATACTGTTTCCGAATTTGTAATGTAGCCAATTTACTCAATTTTTTGTAGTCGACAGTTTCGGTGGGTTTCGATTCACTTGTTATATATAATCCAACGTGTTATTTAACCAATGCGTGTCAAAGAAAAAGAAGAACCCATTAATACTTTATATTTACTTTGTTAATGGCATTTCTTCGTCGCTTATCTAAATTTTGCCTTAACTATGATAGCGAAGTAGTTTAATGGTCTGTCTCCAAATTGATAAATACTATTCCAATGCTAGCCTCGTTTTATTTTCTTAATATTCATCACACTTCCTATCACCATCTTAGATAAAAAACTACATATATGTATGTATCTTAATTATAGATAAAACGGTTATCTGGTATACTTAGAAAATATATAAAAACAAAGCAATAACATATATTTTATGCGACAATCATAGTATTCAGTCTTCGAGCACTAAAAGTTTATTGAAAAATGATAGAAACTTTTCATTAGGTGAAAAAAAAACTACTTGGCAAAGGTGGTAACGACATTGAAGACTGTTCTGTTTACTATATTAAACTATGAACATCAAGGAGGTAGTGGAAAATAGCCAATGATGACGATATACTTCTGAAGTTATTTAAGTACCTATCTCATATACAAACTGTTTAATAAAACGCGCACACGTACGAAGAAAAACGAAAGCATTTTGACAGCTTAGAAAGAATTTTTAGTAAAATTATGAATTAAACTCTTATTTATTATACTTATGAACTTTTTTGAGTGACATCAAGTTTTACCTGGAGCTCCTTATTCTTGTTATCTTTGAGCGAAGCTGCTCTGATAACACCAGCTTTCCATCCCCATTCGGAAACTTTATTCACGTTAATTTTTGCAACACCACTCACTGAGAGAAATCGTTTGCCAACTAAATCTTCGCGGTATCTAAATGCCATAACGAACTACACAATCACATTATTCACTATAAAACTACACAAACGTCAAGAAACACAACGCATAAACGCATAACACGTTCCACTCTTCGTTGAGCGAAGGGAAACTACGGATAAAACAAAAAGTGCTTCAACCCGATGAGCGTGCAATACAACTTTTGCTATAGCATTTACTTGAGTAGCAGTTTCGAGTTACTAGATGACTCTCAAAATTGGTAGTACTACACAGGGAAATAAACCGGCGAAATAAAAATTTTACACATAACTAGCTTCTCGTTTTATACATGTTGCCTTTTCAATTTATACGAGTAATAGTTCCTTTTACTCCAAATTTCTAGTATTCGTTAGCTAACACACCGCAAGATGGAGTGATCAAAATAATTGTTTTTTTTTTCTTTGATTGAAAGATGGCGCTGTTATTGATTGTAAAAGTAATAAATGATTTTTTTATTAACATTGATTTAATAAATTACGTTACAAGCTTTTCTACAACGTTAAATAGGAAAAGCAAGTAATATATGCCATTCGTCTGGTATTTGCCTAGTGTGATGAGATGATTTTAATCCATATTGCGGGTTTCTAAAAATTGAAAAAAACAACTATTTTACTAATTTTAAATGAAATAAATGTTAATTAATTGCATTGATAATATTTGAACTTGTCTAAGAATCATTCAATACTTCTTTTATATACATTTTTGAACGACATTGCTTTATTGATTTTACGATCACGTGATCAAAACATCAGTCTGATTCAACATGGCGGACTAGTCTTATTTCTGAGCGGCTGTGTTTTGTCATGTTTACTTTTGTGATTATTTTAGAGCAGATTTTTCTTATGTGATATTAATATGATATCGTCCATAATTTCACGGTTGGTCATGTAAGTATTTCTTTAATAATTAATGTCTGAAATAATTGAGTAAATTTATTATGTATGACGTTTCAAAAGAATAAAACAAATTGCTATTTCTTTGTTGTGCAATTTTACGTTTAATAATTTCTCAATTTTTTTCGACATCTATATTTTATAAAACGTTTCTTTGCGGTAGAAAATTAAGATGGCTTATAATTTTTTAAACTGTATATAAAATAAAATAAAAATTGTGGTCAATGAAAAATTATGAATGTAAAAACCATTGTTTTGCACCTAAATTTTTATAAGTACGGCTTATTTTTTGGAAAATCTTAATATTACGATGCATATTTTTGATTTCATCGCTAGCAAATTAATTAGTTATTAATTAATACTTCTTACTAAATGGTTATTGAAAATTTTATGTACCTACAATCATATTTAATAGTATAGTTTTCCTAAATATATTGCCAATCATAATAAGGATTCCCATTCACATGTATAAGAATATTAAATTAGGCCATTATTAATATTCTTCAACAAAAAAGTAAATAAAGGACCCACATGTTTAGTAGGTAACAATAAATTAAAACGCAATTAAATCATAACTGGAAGATGACCATTTCAATCACTTCAGCTTCAAAAGTTTACATTTTATGTAATTACAGACTGTCAAGTTTAACCTTTGTATCATTTACTTTTCTGATCTCCCTGTTGCTGTGCCGAGTATCACCTGTACTTAATTTATTTTGAAAGATTGTTAAAAATATTTAATGTTGACAGCAGACTGTTACAGGACCATGGGCTCTGTAAAGTCTTGTTTAAATTGTCTCAAATTAAAACAAAAATAAAAGTATAAAATCCACAAAATATTTTAATTTAACAAGGTTTTACAAAAATTCTAAAAAAGTATGAAAAGTTAATCCAATCATTTAAATAAACAAATTAATTATTTATAACTTATTAAAAATTTATTTCTATAAAAAACCTAAATATAAATGTAATTTCTTTAAATACTAAAATCATTTATAATCAATCTAATAATTAAATTTAAGTGCAGCCCTTTATAGAAATTGTTTTGAGTATCATAGAAATAGTATTTATTATGGTAGAGTTTTGCAGCTGTTCTTCACAAGGGTCAGGCTTTGAAAAAACCCTTTTAAAATTGGACAATGCAAGTGCTGTAACTTACCTACAATAAACAAATGCCTTTTCTTTTTCTTTCTTGCATTATTGACAAAATTCATTTAAAATTATGAATATTAACCATATTGATCAGTAGTAGCAGTGAATCTAAATATACTTAGTGTGATGAATAAATTTCCAATTGGTATTGGTGATATTTTTTTTAGTAGTAATTCGCGAAAGTATTATTTTTCCACTTTACGCCGGTCTTCTGTGAGGTCGTGGTACTTACCCGGACAAGCCTGCCCAATCGTGCAACAGCCGAGGCTGCTGCGTGGCCTTAACACCGTGAAAATATATGTAATGTGATATTCAAATGTTTCTCAATGTCGTGTCATCGCCCTTCCCGAAAAAGTATGCGTAAACTATGAAAGCAAATAAATAATACATTGGTGTAACTAACTGCCATTAAATATTGTTATATTTTGTAATATTGTGTGAGTATAGCAGATTGTGTAGATTTTATTCATAATCAGTCATACATTTAGAGTTTAGTTTCACACGTGTACAATGTGCGGAATAAACTAGGTGCAGTACGTTGTTGGTATTGGCGTAACGCCAGCTTCGAATGATTTCGGAGGCAGCTGTAGCTGAAATTTGGCAACTATTACAGGCGCGTCGAAACCTTTTTATTCTTGTTTTCACCTTCAGACGTTGCGTGTCCCCAGAACGAAACAGTTGTAATATTTTAATTGATAGATTACAAAATCTTAACGTATAGCACAAAGAAATAGTGACGGTGGATCGGTATATTTCGGCGACGTATTTTGAGGAGACCACACCGCCGTTTAATCTGTGTCGACGCTTCGAACAAAGGAGCCCACACAGCAAGTTGGCGTTCAGAAACCGCCGTAAGGGTATCCCGCTGCACTGCCGGGTTCTATTTCGGGTGGTACCCGCCGCTGGCCGGCCCGCCTTTCGGTTGCAGTCGACGCTTCAGTCCGTGACGACCGACGGTTGCGTCCGCGGCCGCGTTTCTATGCAACGAGTCGTTTCTATGCAACGAGTGTAGTGCGTTGACACTTACTTAACTGTATCGTGATTCATTATCGCCAATCGTGCCCCACGCAGTCAGTGTCTGTTCGAGTGCGGCCCCAACTCCGGCCGTCCGGAGGTCGTACACCTTGACTCCGGCATATTATGTACATATTGAGACCGCCTGTCCTACCATTTTAGGCGCAACTCGCCTCCGCAACACCACCTTTACCTAGTTTCGCGGCTGACGTAGCTCGCCAGCCGCCACCATTCGCGAATAATGTCGTCGCGAACAAAGCTCGATATAAGGATAACCATTTATTACGAGGACCATGTCGTTGTGATCTATATATAGAATAGAACAAGAGATAAAGAAATTTTATTGTTTTTTCTTAAAGTAACCGTTTCAAATGTATTATATTCATAATATAACTCGGATAAGATACAGATATGTTGTCTTTATTTATTTATTGCCTTTGGTATTTGAATTAAATGGTTGTTAGCAATATTATTATTTTTTTTGTAGCGAACGTCGAAAATATCAGTAAAATAACATTAGGAACGCAATAAGCTTACATACTTGCATCGTTCTATCCCTAAAAATCCAATAACTGTTGCCAAATGAGCATCGTTTCACTGACCGTTATGTAGGTTATGTTACCGAAATAACCCAGCAGCATCATGTTTAATTATAATTATTTATGTATTAGAAGAGTTCTTTAACATATTGGTTTGTCCACTGCGGTTTCTTAAATATAATTTTTGGCTTTTATGATATAACTGTTCATAACTTTGGCAAATCTTCTAAGGTTCATAACAACAAAGGTTAAAACGTCTATATTGCTGTCATGATTATATTCTCGCCCCCATCGGTTATTATACCGAACAGATGTTAATATAAAGGCTTAACTTCTTTTTTTAGGGTTCCGTACTCAAAGGGTAAAACGGGATCCTATTACTAAGACTCCGTTGTCTGTCTGTCTTTCCGTCTGTCCGTCTGTCACCAGGCTTTATCTAATGAACCGTCATTGTTAGACAGTTGAAATTTCCACAGATGATGTATATCTATTGCCGCTATAACAACGAATACTAAAAAACAGAATAAAAAAGTATTTACGTGGGACATTCCATACAACAGACTCGATTAATTCCCCTGTTTTTATAGATAATGGTACGGAACCCTTCGTGCGCTAGTCCGATTCGTACTTAGCCGGTTTTTATAAATATCTAAGCTAATTCGTATTTTAAGCCTATTGGGTGAGATAGACAGGTAAACCTTCCACCATGCTTTCTTTCTTCTTTTTCTTTCTTTAATAAATGGCTTCTCTTAAAAGAATTTTGCCAATATCATGTCAGTCAAGGGAGTGACGTTTATACTTATAGGTCAGATTAAATTTTGGGATTATATTGAGATGCACCATGCTTATTTCTCTTCAATTCTGACATAATTCTGTGAGTCTTGTCGACATATTTTAACGGGTACAAACGACAGGCGGTTGTTTCACTCACGTAATTGATCTGATAAAAGAAACGACAATTATTTCGTGTTTACGCGATTACTAAAATCGTTTCGCTTTTTTAATTCCCGACGTTACATCAATACCATACTGTTATCGAAAATTAGAGTCCATAGTCACGGACCAGAATACGATAAGAGAAGGGAAAATCTCAGGTTTCTCGTCCTAATCTCGTCGTTAATCTGTGATACCGTCAACTTTTAAATAATTTGTCAATTAAACAAAAGCTGACAAATGTCCAAACTGCGCGGCGTTTAAAATTTTTTCCGCTTTACATTATATGACACATATAAGTGAATGTGAAAGATGAATATAGAACGTACAATGCGGAAAAAGATACCAGTCTATCACCCAGTTTCCGAAAGCGCAATCAATTTTAATTTACGATAAATCTCTTGTCAATCGTTGTTTAACACGATCTGAGTTGCTAGAACGTCTTAAACAACATTGATTTTGATTTGCAATTAGTCACTGATTAACGGACAATCAACAGAACATCGAGTTTCTGAAAGCGTTTTTCGGTGGTCAAAGAGCTGTCAAAAGTTTTATTAAGTAATCTGTCAATTTGGACGATCAATCGTTGGTTAAAAATATTATTTATCAAAAATCTGTTTTTATTCTGATCAGTTTTTATTAAAAATAAACATAATTCCCTAATACGTTGTAAGGACATTCATGTGTTCTATTACCTATTTATTATTTATTATTATGCTGAAGATATGTGATTAGAAAAAATACAAAATGCAATTCAAAAGTTAATAAATAATATGGATTCTTTCTTTTTTTAATACTTACTTGTTTATTATGGATAAAAGTTCATTTTTTTCACGATCTGTAAAGTTTTTTTTGACATTTTTGCATGTATTTATTTAAATTAAATTTTATTATAGCTCGGGTTTTTACGTTGGCAATCACACGGTGACAGGACTGGATAGTGACGTTAATTTAAGTTTTGTTTAAAAAGGGACAGCTATACAATAGAAAGAGTTAGTTGAAGTAAATCATTCATTTCATTCATTATCATTGGTTATACAGTGATTAGCTAATTTTTTCTTGAACAAACCTTCCAGAAACCCAAGGCAGTTTAACAAGAGATTAACAACTGATCATTTTTGACATAGTGTTATGTGATTGCCGCTTTGATTGGCCTTTCGGAAACTGGGCATATAGAATTGTAATCTAATTACACCAATTGTCGTATTTTAAGTGCCTCAGTTTCGGTGCGCTAATGTCATATCTACCTCGTATTTGTTTATAATACTAGCTGTGCCCGCGACTTCGTCCGCGTGGAATTTAAAATAATAAAAAAATCTAAATAAAAGTATTTTAATATTACAAGTAGACACTCCAATTTTATATATTTGTATAGATAGAATCCCAAGATGTTGCTAATTGTGTCCGTCGGTATAATAAAAATCAATGTATAACGCGAAAAAATCCGTCACTAAAAGTTTTATTTCACATTATTTTATGAAAGTTATTATTAGTTGTTGTTAAGTTAATATTTCGCCTCTTGTTTGAAACTTAATAACATTTTTTTATTTAATTAGAATCATATATTTTCTTCATTAGTCATTATTATTTATGACATAAACAACTAATGAATTATGGTTAACTCGTTCTTTCTCCTACCCTTGGTGAATTCGGCACATTTCCTTCTCTTCCATTTTCCTCAATCTGCCATCTTCTCAATACTCTCCTCTTTTACAGACATAATCACATTACATAGCCAACCCAACCTTTGTAGTTCGCCCTAAATTTTTAAAGAACATTCATACTCAGAACCCTTCCTGGTCACTTGACTTTCATTTCTTGTCATTACGTGGCCATACCATGTAATGATCTAAAATAGGTTTTAAATTAAAAAAGCATACGTTATAAAAAAATTATAAAGTAAGCTTTAATAATTTACGAAGAATACAACACTATAATTACGATATTTAATTTATCGTAAAAATAGACCTTATTTTTATAATAAAACAAATAAATTCATTTTTAATTAACCTTTGGCTTTGAAGACTCGACTTTATGATGAACTAGCTTTTCGCCCGGGGCTCCTTTCGTATGTATTAAATTTTATATTGTGCTAAAGTAGCCTTTAGCCCCAAAGTTAATGGAAAGCTGCAACCAAATTGGTTAAACCCCGAGATTAGCGCGCACGAACGCACAGTAAAACAGACAAAATTTAAAAAAATCATTATTTAGAGTTTTATTGCGTTGATAAAGACCCCCAGTAATATTTTTCTCAAATACCTTATATATACAGACAACGATTATTTACATTTTTATTGAATGAATGAATGAATGAATATACTTTATTGCACACCAAATAAAACAAACAAAAATTAAAACTTAATGTAGAAGTAATGGGTTTTTATTATATGTATTGATGTTTAAAATCAAATAAAGTTGAAAAATTAATTGATAGTTAGCCTCGTAATAAAATATTTCGACCTGCACGAGTCAAGTACGCGTGCACTTTATAAGTACATCGTTTCCAGTATTGAGAATGGTCAGCACCTAATCGCTCTCCAGATCACGCCTGAAAGTACCGCTGCACGAAACGGGATGAAACAACGCCACCAAAACCGTATTAGGCGTGCCGCTCCACCGACGATTACGAAAGGAGCAAGCAAGTGCCGTGCAAGGCACGCAACCGGATATTCCAGTAACGAATGGAAAGCTGGCTTGGGTTGTCTGTGGTTGTTTCGGTTGGTTTTTCTTCCGTACCGATCGTCGCTAACGTTAGAAGCTATGGCTTAGATTATTGAGAAAATATCTGAGGTGTGAAAAGCGCCCTTTGGAAGGGCGTTTTTAAGATCGTATTTGTTGTTCGTCGATCAATTCTGTTTTAAATTTATCATTATTGTTAATTGAATTGAAACAACGAAATAATTCAATACTATCTTCTGAAATTGTACTTGAGCCATCGAATTCACATAGTTGAAGTGAATGGCAAGAGATCTCCTCGGGCCCTGGTAAGTATGGGGTCCCGCAGGGATCTATTGTTGGGCCTTTTCTCTTCCTCATTTACATAAATGATCTACCTAATCTAGTTAATAATAATCATGAGATAGTATTGTTCGCTGATAATACCTCTTTAATTTTTAAAGTAAAACGACGTTCTTTAAATTATGACCATGTAAACAATACTCTATCCACTGTATTACATTGGTTTAGTGCTAACAATTTACTGTTGAATAATAAAAAAAACTAAATGATCAAACATGTAAAAACTGATGTACTTTTATTTGGGGAAGCGCCGAACCCTTGACTCAACTGTATTCCTTGGCATAACTATTGATGCTAAACTGCAATGGGGCCCCCATATCAGTAGACTGGCGAGTAGACTTAGCTCAGATCGCTCCAGGCTCTTTCAATCAGAATTCTTATATTGTATTTGTAATGAATTCATGTCAAACTGTTTATTTAAAAAAAATTGAAAAAAAAAGCCCGCTAAGTTTTTTTCGCCGGTTCTTAGTACAGTGGTTTTTTTCTTTTCCGAACCGGTGGTAGTATTTTGACTTCAAAAGTGAGACTCCTATGTTTAATAAAGACATTTGATTTTGATTGATTTTGAAAATGGGGAGAAAGGTTTTGTGAAACTCTTCTTTTACAGAGCCGTGATAGCTCAGTGTCCGGGCGCTCGCCTTAATTCAATGTATACTCGAGCAATCTGAGTTCGATCCCCGGTGCCGGCACCAATGAAGTTTTTAACTTTAAGTGCTGAATTATCACGTGCTTCGCGGTGAAGGAAAACATCGTGAGGAAACCTGCATATTTTCGGAATAATAACAAAAA